CCGGCACCTTGGAGTCACGGGCCTTGCAAAGGACTAGGCTGGTATTCGGGTCCATCGCCATAGAGATTGCGGCTCCTGGGGCGGCGTCCAACCGTCCGTCCCTGGTTAGCGTAGTCGGCTCCGAGCTAATGGTCGGAGCGGACACCTGAGCGGCACTCTGGGCGCCGTCCAGCGGCAGAGCTAGATCATGCCCATCGAGACAGTGCGGCGCGCTCGGCCATGGCTCGAATCCATCGAGGATCAAGTCCCCGTGAATGTTGGCCGTGTAGTTTAAGATTCCAAACCTGACCTGATGGCCAGGGGCGTAGCTTTCGATCTGCTCCAGATGGCCAAGCGAGTTGGCCCGCAGTGCGAAGCCGCCGAATACGAAGATCTGTCCGGGGAGAAAAGTCTCACCCTGGACCGCGTCATGGTTGATGATCGAAGAAGCCATCGGGCCTAACGGCGACGACACAGAGGAACTCTCAATGAAAGCACCAATGTCGGTGTCAAAACCGGCGGATCTCGGGTAGGGGGTCCCGAACTGTGCGTCTAGGCGGATGGTAACAGGAGACAAGGGACACAATATTTTTACCCAGGTTCGGGCAATCTCAGCGGAGGTAAAACCCTACTCCTTCTTGATTAATATTGACGGTATGGGTATTACAAGAGTTGATCTACCATGAGATCAGAGAGGCTAAACCCTAGAAGCTAGCCTATGGTATGATTGTTGTTCGTCCTACGGACTAAAACTCTCTGGTTTATATAGACACGGAGAGGGCTAGGGTTACACAGAGTCGGTTACAATGGGCGGAGATCTTCACATCGTATCGCCAAGCTTGCCTTCCATGCCAAGGAAAGTCCCTATCCGGACACGGGACGGAGTCTTCAATCTTGTATCTTCATAGTCCGGGAGTCCGGCCAAAGGTCATAGTCCGGCCATCCGAGACACCCCCTAATCCAGGACTCCCTCAAGGAGTGAGATGATATATTGCGATGGCCGTTAGGACTGCCTAGACAAGAACTGTTCGACTTGCAATAGCCACATGCCTTCCTTGCCAAGGGGGTAGCTTGCCTGTGATCTTATCTTCAAGATGCTGGAAATGGATTCTCTTGAGACGCTTAACAGATAGAGGAAGGCAAAGATAACGCATTGGAAACAATGAACGGACCGCTGGAAAAGCATGAAGAATGTTGTCCAGATTGATACCATCACATCGAATAGGAGCAACAAGACTTTTACCACAGTTGTTGACAAGACCAATCACACTCCAAATGAAGCCAGAGTGGCAGCCAGGAATTGTACATCCTCCTTAATTGGTTTGACAAAGATGGTAGCATCATCGGCGTAAAGCGAAGCTCGAACGGTTGGAGTTGTACCATACAGAGGGTGGAGATGCCCTTGAGCAGTTTCCTTGCTGAGTAGACGATGGAATGGATCAATGGCGAGGACGAAAAGAAGGGGAGACAACGGGTCGCCCTGTCGAAGGCCACATCCATGCTTAGTGGGTCTCCCAACACCCCATTGATCAACACACTCCAGGTGGTGGTGGACAGCAGAGCCGCAACCCAATCCCGGAATCTGACCGGGAAGCGAAGATGTTGGAGAAGATCCATGAGAAAGTCCCAGCGCACAGAGTCAATTGCCTTCTTGATATCAAGCTTGAATAGAAGAGTCGGGTTGTGTTTTCGATGCAATTTTCTTGCCATGTTTCTGACATACATGAAGTTGTCATGGATACTTCTCTTTTTTATGAGGGCGCTCTGGGCGTTTGAGACAAGATCGTGCATATGGGGTGCCATCCATGTAGCCATCATCTTCGCAATTATCTTCGCAATAGCATGGATGAGGGTAATGGGGCGAAAGACCGAAATGGATTCAACCCCATCCTTCTTTGGAATGAGAGCAATGTTCGCCGAGTTGAGCCAATGCAAATTCTCAAAGTGTAAGTTGGAGAAGTGGTTGACCACAAGCATGATATCACCTTTTAGTATTTCCCAACATTCCTTGAAGAAGGCCCCAGAGAAGCCATCGGACCCAAGAGCTTTGTCGCCGAGAAGATCAAAAATTGCCTTTTTCACCTCTTCCTCCATGAAGGCCACTCCAAGGTCTGTGAGGTCGCACTCAGGAACTGGGATATTGCCCCAGTTGAAATCGGTGTGACGCGGCAGAACGCGTTTCGTGACCTTCGCGAAGTGGCCTTGAATGATGGACTTCTTATGGTCATGGTCAGTAACCCATCCATTGTTGTGCTTGAGGCGGTGGATGAAATTCTTCCTTCTTCTATGATTGACCTGAAGGTGAAAAAATGAGTGTTGGCGTCTCCATCATTTAGGTTGGTAATTCGCGAGCTTCGTCGCTTCCGTGCACGCTCAATAATGGCCAGGGCCAGCACCTTCTTCACAACAAGCTTTTTTGATTGCATCAATGAAACATAAAAGCCCAGGTATTTTTTCCTCGACCTCAAGCCGTCCTAGCTTTAACAGCTGATATTTACAACCCACACATTGCTGTTGAGTTTGCATCAATAATACTAATGCTTGAGTAAGAGGATGTCTCATGGGTGTCCTCTCCTGTTAAGTGGTCGAGCTAGCAAACTATCAAGATTTGAAGCTAAGTAACATAACTATCTTAATAATAGGTGATAATCACTTTCCAGTCACGATGAACAACGATATGTTGCATATGATGTGCTCAAACCAAACCATGCCAATTATGGCTTGAAGCATGTGCTCCCTATACTGCCAGATCAAAATGTCAAAGGAAATTTTGCTGCCTTAGTGCCAGCACTTGCACACAAGTAAATATATGTTAGAGACCACCAGATTTTGCTATCTTGTTTTGTTTTGTGCTTCCCCGAGCACCGTCCTCCTCACTCCCCTTCCCATCACCTATTCGAGCCCTCCTCCTCCCCAAGCCCAGCGGCAATGCCGAAGTCCTAGTTCTCCGCGATGGTGGAAGTTCCTCTTTAGGGGATCGTGGCACCGCCGCCCTCGTTCTCTGGTACCATCTGCATCCAGGGTGGCATGCTCCTTCGAAAAGGAGATAGTCGGCGACGAGGAGAACCAGCCATAACAACGACCCCGTCTTCTCTCGGAGGCGGCTCTAACAGAAGAAGAATTTGTCCATCAGATGGAGTTCATGACGGATTTTTGGCTCCATCACATGGGCCCGGCGCCACCACCACCGGTGTGCATGAAGGAGAAGCCACCACCCCCGTCGTGCATCCGCATGAAGCGGGAGCCGGCGCCTCCACTCCAGCAGGTGAAGGACGAGCCGGCGCCCCCGCCGCGCGACCGAGGCCTCCACATTGGTGGCCGCGTGAAGAAGGAGCCGGCGTCCCACAAGCGCCTCCGCCGCATGAAGGATGAGCCGGTGTCACCCCAGCCGCACAGCCGCTACACGCGGATTGACGAGCTGACGTCACCACCACGACACCACCGCCACCTAATAGAGGAGGAGCCGTTGCCCGCGATTGCCAAGGCGCGTGGCCGCATTCTCCACTACCTCGAAGGAGGCGATTACGGCGGTGCCTCGGGCTCGAGGGCCGTCAGGTCCGAGGCGGAGCGCACAGCGAGGCAGCAAACGAGGTACGACTGGCGCAATGTTAGTCGCCGCTTCGCGTTTGCCAAAAGCGATGTGGTGCCGGAATGATTCTGTAACGACCCTAACGTCGCTGCAGTGTGGGCGATCGACCGCTCCGTCACCACCGCGGAGACGGCCGCCAGGCGTCGCTGCCGCCTTGACGGCGAGCTCACCAAGATCGGTGAGGAGTGGTTCGTTTAGCGACTGTTGCCAACGCCGGCAGCGGCAAGGCCGCCCCCAGGGCTCCGCTGCAGTGGCCAAGGCAGCCCTCCGCGCAGCGCAACAGGAGGCGGAGTGGCTCCTCCGCGAGCGGCAGGCAGCCGCCGGACAAGACTACCGCAACCCTTTGGCATCCTTGCGACGCTAGAGGGACGACAACGACGACGGCAGGTGGTCGTTCCATATAGGGTTTAGTTTTTTAAATACTAATTTTTAGTAAAATGATCGAAAAATCGTCCATTTATGTAAATTATATCTGAACTTGAATGAAATCCGCCCAATTTGCACGAATTTCGTCTAATTAGTTTGAACCGTTGTTGAAATGTATGTGGGCGGTGTTGGATGGCGGCCTCCGGCATCAGTGTCCGCGGACAGATGCCGGAGCAAAAAAAAAATTGACCGGAAGCAAATTTGCGTGTCATCGTTGAAGACGCCCTTATCTCTCAAAACTCTGACAAACCAACATATTATAACAATGTTGTGATTCATATTCCGAGTTAATTGTGAGCCTGTTAAACTCCAGGATGGTTTTGCTTCGGCAAAAAATGTTTATTGACTTTTGCATTGCTTGTTTTGTGGAACCCTTGGACAACGTTTCGTCTTCACAGCTGACCTAACATTGTTGATGTTTTGAACGGTCGTACCTGCCCTGAACGCAGCTTCACTGCGTCCACAACTGCAGCCCAAAGAACCAGAGTGCTGCCGCTCCCAAACCTTGAACAAATAGACTCAGAAACACATACATTGGACAGAAGTGCAGACAAGTAGATGAACAAACTTGTTGCAAAATCTGTACTCTCTCCCCTCGCCGACTTTTGCACCCTATAAGTAGCCAGCAGCCCCAGCTATCTCTCCCACACTCAAACTGCACTGCCAGAGACAGCCGGTGCTGCACATGTCTAACACTATGGCTCCGAAAAACTCAGCTATCTTCCTCCTTGGGCTTCTTCTCTCATGCGTGGCCATGAGTAGTGCGGCGAGAATCCTTGAGGAGACCGTTCCGTCCCAGGAAGAGCACCAGACCGAGGTGCCACAGATTCCCAAGGTAGAGCTTCCACCGTTACCGGAAGTACACCTTCCACCTAAGCCTGAGCTTCCCAAAGTGGAGCTGCCGCCGGTCCCGGAGGTGCACCTGCCATCTAAGCCTGAGCTTCCCAAGGTGGAGCTGCCACCGGTCCCTGAGGTGCACTTGCCACCCAAGCCTGAGCTGCCCAAGGTGGAGTTGCCGACGTTCCCGGAGGTTCACTTGCCACCCAAGCCGGAGATGCCCAAGGTGGAGCTCCCGCCGAAGCCCGAGATGCCAAAGGTGGAGCTTCCACCAAAGCCCGAGATGCCCACTGTTCCCGTGTTCCACTTCCCAAAGCCAGAGGCCAAGCCATGAGAATTGCCTTCTCAATATTATCGCCTCGTTCTACTTCGCTCGTACATGTACCCTAGTGTTGTGTTGCGTCAACGGTCTGATTGTTTAGTCATGGTCGACGATCACTGTGAGTGATATGTTTATATAAATATATATTTGATCGAAATATGTATCTGGCAACCATGTGGCAGATTGCAAAATGATCTACCGCATCCAGCCCCGTCAGATCTGGCAACCGCTCGATCTGCATCTCCTCCGTTCGCGACTCCTATGCCCGAGCGCCCAGGCATGGCGCCGCGAGCACGCATTGACCGGCCATCAGCAGCTTCGATCGAACCACCTATTCCCTCGCACCCCTCGAGCACCAACGCCTCCTCAAGTCGCCGTCATAGCCTGCTGCTCCAGCGAGCAGCTCCTTCCATGGCAAACACTCGCCGGTGCAGGAGCTCCATCACCATCTCCACCGGATTCCTGCCTCCCCTGCAGCCCATCGACGACCATGTCCTGCACACGTCTCGGCCATAGCAGCATCTGCTGCCCGCTGTTCTGCTGGCCGAGCTTCTAGCCACGGCCATAGGCTCCGGCGAGCGCCGACTTCAAGATAGGACACTTGCATCGATCTCCTTCATCTTTGAACAATAAGTAGCGTGCTCAACTAAAATGGATTCGCAATGAAGAGATCTACGAATTTCATGTTGAAGTCCACGCGATTTGTAGCCTAAAGCAACAAGTATGATGGATAATTGGGAGTTCTTTGTGTCTGTGTTTTCAGTTTTCAGTTTCCAATACAGGTTTGGTTGGTTGGAGGTTGAAGACAACATTCTCGGTCAGCTACAGAGAGAGAAAAGAGTTGGGCTGAGCCCAATGCTGGGTAGAGGCCTAGTTAGGAAAACTTAATGTTGGCTAAAGAAAACATGTTCAGTGGGTTTTTTAGCTTCACTGGTGCATCATTTGTACTACATTTTAAGACCTAACGACTTACGTATAAATATTATGCTAACTCCGTGAGCGGCAGGCAGCCGCCGGACAAGGCTGCCGCAACCCTTCGGCATCCTTGCGACGCTGGAGGGACGACAACGACGACGGCAGGTGGTCGTTCCATATAGGGTTTAGTTTTTTAAATACTAATTTTTAGTAAAATGATCGAAAAATCATCCATTTATGTAAATTATATCTGAACTTGAATGAAATCCGCCCAATTTGCACGAATTTCGTCTGATTAGTTTGAACCGTTGTTGAAATGTATGTGGGCAGTGTTGGATGGCGGCCTCCGGCATCAGTGTCCACGGACAGATGCCAGAGCAAAAAAAAAAATTGACCGGAAATGCCGAAGCAAATTGAGGGTCATCGTTGAAGACGCCCTTATCTCTCAAAACTCTGAAAAACCAACATATTATAACAATGTTGTGATTCATATTCCGAGTTAATTGTTAGCCTGTTAAACTCCAGGCTGGTTTTGCTTCGGCAAAAAATGTTTATTGACTTTTGCATTGCTTGTTTTATGGAACCCTTGGACAACGTTTCGTCTTCACAGCTGACCTAACACTGTTGATGTTTTGAACGGTCGTACCTGCCCTGAACGCAGCTTCACTTTTTAAATCCTCAAAAACCTAACAGAAAAAAAGTTACGGGGCTTTTAATATCTGGAGGCAAAAAAAAATCATCAAATTTCAGTTTTTTTTTGTTAAATCTAGTCAAACTATGGTCAAACTAATTATTCAAGAATATTAGTGTTACTAAATAATTATTTCAGTTTTTTTGAATTTTGGTAAAATCACTGTTTTAAATAGCCCGCTATAGCTCCGCTATAGCACGCTATAGCGTTTACAAAAGGTCTTGCGCTAAGAGACTTTGGTCCAAACAAATGAACAAATATTTTAAATAGCGCGCTATAGCTCCGCTATAGCACGCTATAGCATTTGGAAGAGGTCCGCCGCTAAGATGCTTAGCGCGCTATTTAAAACTTTGGGTAAAATCTGATCAAACTATGGTCAAACTAATTATTCAACAAATATTAGTGTTACTAGTTTTTTAAAACAATAGTTTCAAACTCAAACAGTGAAATGTGTGACTTCATACTCAAGCTAAATTCCTGAGATTAATAGGATTGCATCTTACTATTGTGAGGAAAACAACAAGTGCAGACTTGGAAACGAGGGAGAATAGAACCCGGAAGTTAAGCGTGCTCAGGCTGGAGTAGTGAGAGGATGGGTGACCGTCCGGGATGTTAGATGATCTGGAATGATGAGGGGTGATTAGAGATTTGAGGTTAAAATAATTCAGAAATTTGAAAATTAGGAAAAAAATCGAATTTTTTTCGAAAAAAATCAAAAAAAATCAGAGATTAAAGATTAGTAGTAGCGCGGGTTTTTACCCATGCTACTACTAACGAACGCTACTGCTATACGTTAGCTGTAGCGCCTTATTAGTAGCGTCGGCCCCCGCGCTACTAATAGGCCCAAAACCCGCGCTGCTGCTAGGCTTTTCCCTAGTAGTGCACAAGCGATGCACGTTGACCTGCAAATTTGTGGTTCCACGCACACCTAACCACCACGGTCGTGCCATCACGCTATCGATCCTGTGTTGCTTGCAAGCCTAGAGAGCCCACCGCCGCACCTTCGTTATAGTTGGTAATGCAACAATCCCTCTAACATCTTTGAACACCGCACCTCGACTACTATATCTCCATGCCGACGGGTCGCCGCAACCGGACTTTCATCTGTGTGCCACTGAGCAGTCTCGAGCCACTCCACGCCTAGAAAGGGATAAACGGCCCTTTAGTCGCCAACGCCATGTGGGCTTTGCTCAACGACGCCCTTCGACACTGATGAGGGACAGATGGAGCGAGATGGGGATGTGAAGGCCGGCGGCTAGGGTTCCTTATGGGTTGCCCATGGTGAGAGCGACATGAGAGTTACCTAATGTTGCTATGGTAGCATGACCAGGAGTCGCCCACCTTTAGAACTAGATGCTTCACCATTTTTATTTTTATTTTTACTTCTACGAATGATTCACCAAATGTTAAGTGCGTGCTACAATACACACGTCTAAGGTTAACAGGTAATGGTAATGGCACGAGGTTTAACAAACTGAATGGCTGGTAACCAAGAAGCAAGCAGTCACATTATTGAAAATGACGTCAGTGTGCTACCTCAACGACGAGGCCTTTCATGCAGTATTGTGTGGGGGGTATTTTATGTGTATCACTTAAAGATTTGTGACAGTTTTCGGTCAGTTTTTCATTAATTAATTTAGCAATTCTTTTTTCTTAATGAATCGAAACATGGAAAAGAAACACTGTACGTGGTCACCTCTGGGAAATGCAACATGGCTGTTAAGTTCCAGTGCGTCGTTCTTAGCTCTATACTCGCTCGTTTTGTGGCCAAAGGCCATATTGACACTTGCGTGCTCTTCCACGGGGTGGAGTTCCTTGGAGACGCCATTTCTTCTTAACAGTCGGCCTAATCACAACTACTGATCCTACCTGCTCCCTTGGACATGCACGTTGCCCGCGGCCGCTCCTTTCTCACCCATGGCATCGAACTGAAGCTAGAAAAAGCCACACCGATCGTCTAACCAAACCGACTACGTTACGGGCAGATGGCCAACCTTGTTCCAAATCGCGGGACTCCCGCGACACACGGCGCAGAGGCACTACAAGCTTTCACGCCCCTACAAGTACCACGCAACGTGCACCTGCTCAGTATCAGTATCACACATCCACAGCCAACCACACCGGCCGACCGCTAGCTAGCCAGCTGCACGTAAGAGGAAGTCCAGCATGGCCTCGAGGAACACCGCCCTCGTGTTCCTCCTCGCGCTGCTCCTCTCGTGCGTCACCATAAGCAGCGCGGCGAGGAAGCTGCAGGAGCACGAGACGGCTCCGCCCACGGAAGAAGAGCCGTCCGCGCCACACCTGACCGTGCCAGGGCTGCCAGACTACGAGCTGCCGCCGATGCCCAAGTTTGAGCTCCCGCCGTTCCCAGAGATGCACTTGCCGCCGTTCCCGGGAACGCCGTGGAAGCCGGCGACGCGCACGCCCACCCTTACCGGGTTCTTCTTCCCACAGCCGGAGCCGGAGGCCAATCCATGAGGACTTCTAAGTTGTATCGTGCACGTATATGAAGCGTTGTTCGTGTGCTTGTTTAGTTGTGGTATCAAACGAGAGTGTGCCGATCCGTACGGCCGACGACGTTATCCTGTGAGTTCCTGCGACTCGTGACTTGTGAGTGATGCCATGATCTACGGCTACGTACGTACTCCCTCCGTCCGGAAATACTTATCATCAAAATGAATAAAAGGGGATGTATCTAGAAACTCCGGACGGAGGGAGTATGTGCCTAGACGGGATGTACATGTGCATTATATATGTATATACATCAGTAATTATGTTTATAGTTTTACAAGGGTGGGCTGCGCTGATAAATGTGTTGACAGATAAATTTCTCGTATATCATGGAAGGCCCTCTGGCCCTCCAGGAGGTCATTCACGAACTCAAACGTACTAAGGAACCGGCGGTGCTATTAAAGTTAGATTTTGAAAAGGCCTACGATCGGGTTAATTAGAATTTCCTCCGACAGGTGTTAATCAGCCGGGGGTTCTCCGCGGTTTGGGTGCACCGCGTCATGCAGTTGGTCTCGGGAGGACAAACTGCTATTTCGGTGAACGGGGAAGTAGGGCACTTCTTCCGAAATAAGTGTGGTCTCAGGCAAGGGGATCCGTTCTCCCCCCTCCTGTTCAACTTTGTAGTGGACGCGCTGTCCTCAATGTTGAGGAAAGCGGCGGAGGCTGGTCACATCAAAGGGTTGGTAGGACATCTCATTCCAGGGGGAGTGACCCACTTGCAGTATGCGGATGACACGCTACTGCTGTTTTGTCCGGACCTCCATAGCATTGCGGCGGTCAAGGCGATTCTTGTCAGTTTTGAGCTCATGTCGGGCCTCAAAATTAACTTCCACAAATGTGAGGTGCTCTCGATGGGGATCGAGGCCGGGGAGGGAAGGCGCATTGCGGATTTGCTCAACTGTAAAGTGGGCAAATTCCCGTTTACTTATCTGGGCCTCCCGGTAGACACCAAACGACCCACGATAGAGAATTGGGATCCTCTATGCGCCAAAGTGAGGACTAGGGTCTGCCCTTGGCGGGGCAATTTTTTGTCGAAAGCGGCGAGGCTAGTGCTCACTAACTCCAGCCTGTCTTCTTTGCCTATGTTTGCAATGGGACTGTTTCTACTTGCGGAAGGGGTCCATGCCAAGTTTGACACACCGCGCGCCAAGTTCTTTTGGGAAGGAACTAGCCCGCACCATAAATACCACATGGTCAAATGGGCCTAGGTGTGCCGGCCCAAGGACTTGGGCGGTCTTGGGATCACCAATTTCAGGTGGCTTAACATCGCGCTGATGTGCAAATGGATTTGGAAAATCACCCAGGGGGCCTCTGGGTTGTGGGTCGACCTCCTAAGGGCCAAATATTTCCCTAACGGGAATTTTTTCGAAGGTAGGGCAAGGGGCTCTCCGTTTTGGAATGATCTTCAGTTGCTCAAACCTGCCTTTGCCATGGGGGCAAAATTTGAGGTTGGGAACGGCAGATCCGCGCGTTTCTGGACTGACCTTTGGATAGGTACCCAACCCCTTTGGATCGAATTCCGGAAGTTGTACGATATTGCCGTTAACCCCGCGTTATCGGTGGCGGTTGCGCTTGCCGCGACGCCACCTGCGATTCAGTTCAAGCGAGAGCTCAACGGACCCGAGCAGGCAAGTCTCGCGTCTTTGATGCAATTAATCGAACCGGTGGGTCTTTCGGATCAACCGGACACGGTGAGCTGGGCGCTCACTAACTCGGGGAAGTTCTCGGTAAAATCCTTATATCGCAAGCTGTGCCGAGGGCCGACACAGCCGGTGATTGCAGGTTTGTGGAAAGCGCGGATGCCTTTGAAGATCAAACTTTTCATATGGCAACTGTGTCGCGATAGGCTTCCCACTTCCTTGAATGTTGCCAAACGGCAGGGGCCGGCCACGGGTCCATGTGCGTTATGCGGGGAACCGGAGGATGCCAATCATGTATTCTTCCAGTGCCCTTTAGCAAGGTTTGCGTGGAGTCCGGACCGCGGCTGGTGTCCTCTGGGACCCGCGCTCGGCTTTGGAGCTCTTCACCCAGGCCAGCTTTTCGGGTTATGTGGAGTTGTGTTGTGGCACTCCTTTGGGCCTTATGGCTTACTAGGAACAAGTTCACTATAGAAGGGTGCTTTCCAACTCATCCAGCTAATATCATCTTCAAATGCAACCTTCTATTACAGCACTGGAGTCCGTTGGGGAGGCGCAAAGATGCTGAGCTGATCAAGACCGCCCAACAATGACTGATGCAAGTGTATGCGATGGCTAGGGAGTCATGACTTCGCTTCTTTTGTTGCCTGACTAGCCTGCGCGCTTTGTACGGGCTCTGCCCTGTAATCTCGATTGGCGACTTGTTAGTTTCTTCTGAACTTTCGTGCTCAAGCTGCCAGGGCTTTGGGTGATGTATTAAGACTTGGTTTGGTACGCTGCCGTTGGGGCTTTATTAATTTAAAGCCGGACGCATCTGGCGTCTTCGTTCTAAAAAAAGCGACTGATGAGCAGCGCTCAGACGTTCCGTTTTCTTAGCAAATTTTGGCATTTTATTGACTATAAGCAACATTACAAAAGCCTTCCGGAATAGAATAAAATAAATAAAATTTTACATAGCTCATACTAGAGCTTTAGCTAAAATATGTGCCGCCATTTTAGTTTATTTTTTGTGATTTCTTTTTCAAAAAGGACAGTTTTCTTCATCCTTTTGTTTCAAAAAAAAACAGTTTTCTTCGTCCTCTGTATCAGATCAATGATGCACAATCATGATTATTATAATCAAACATAGCAAATATTCATAGTGTTATAAAAAAAGCATAATGATACGTAGGTGAACATTCGAGCCATCCTGAGATTCAATCACATAAATTATTACTGGATCGCCATCGAAACCGAATGGACCATAACTGGCTATATCCCATTGGTTGCACCAAAAAAGTACATGAACACCTACACCTCTACAAAAAGCAGGGAGGATGTAGCGTGTAAGAATCCATCCGGTAGCTCTCAAAATGAACCACACTTTCTTTGGAGCTCAGACATGTTAAAGACAAAATCATTACCCTTCGCAATAAAATCATTACAATTCCATATTACTCAAAGTAAAGTACAGACGCCCCACGTGTAATTGCCCCTTAAGGTTAGGATGAACAGTACCCAACTAGTTCTCGAACATATTATATATGCTAGTTGGAGGTGGCAAGTTGAAAGTGCGCCAAATTAAAAATGCAAATGGACATCGCATGAACAAACCGATCCCCTAAACTTAACTCCCTATAGCTTATATTTGGCTCCATGCATTTCGTTGAACACTTGCAATGCAGCACACATAACACACATACAAGCAAGAAGGTGGCTCTCGATCGTGTGGCCTCGTGTCGCGGAGCCGACCGGCGTCAGTACCAGGCGGCAGGGTGACTGCGGCGGTGTCGGGACCGGCTGCACCATTGCTCCCACTTACTTAAATGGCGAGCTTCTTCGGCAACGCCGGCGCTTGAATAATACCACCTCGCCATTGTCCAAGAACAAAATCCCAAATGTCCATGCAATCCTCCGCAAGCGCAACCAGGAGGTGGAACATACTCCGGTGCCACGCGACATTGTCTGGACACAGCGAAGTGGAGCTCCCCAAGGAGCTGCTGCCGGTGAGGCGGTTGGGTGCAATCAGGTGTGGACGGTGGAGACGTTGGGAGGAGCACCACTGGGCTAGAGACGACGAGGAGGAGCGCCGTCATGGGCGGAGACGATGGAAAAGACGAACAAATAAAAAAAAAGATCTTTGGAATTTGGTGGCAAGAGGTTGGCAGGGCTGCGGGGTGTCGGCGATGGCATGTGGTGGCCATCAGAGGCAAGGAGAGCAGCGCCGGAGTGGATGTGGCCGTGCATGGGTGAGAATGGAAGCAATTTTTTTTTATCATGCATGGATTGACGAATGAGTATATTTAAGGGTCGTGGAGGCTGGGGAGACCGTTATAAGGTGCCGGTTTGAGGAGGAAAATGTAATTTATCCTCCTCTAACTGATTATATGGGATCGGCTAGACATGATGGGAACCCCTTTGTTGGAAGATCTCCTCGGGACACGAAGTTTCTAATCCTAAACTTATATGCACACTGATGAACAATAAAATCCAGAAAAACAGTATAAGATTTCAAAAAATTCAGAATTTGTTGTGATAAATATTGATGAATTTCTAACATGCATGCAAAATTTGGTGACGAAATGACATGCCTGGAGGTCTGGGCAAAAACAATAAAATAGATGGTCTAGAAACACCAATTTTAGAATATCAATAGTTTTTCTCAGATCTTCAGATTTCATCACGAAATTTTGCATGCGGCCCAAACATTCATCAATGTTTGTCAGAAAAAATAAGAATTTTTTGAATTACTTTACTATTGCTTTGAATTTTCTATTGTGTGAGCTCGGGATTGGAAGAGCACTTCGTCGCCGTCGAGACTAGAGGAAACCCCTTGCTACGGCTGGATATCGACGTAAGCAACAGTGGATACGTCGAGAACCAAAGGAGAGAAATGGGCACGTCCAGCCCAACCGTCCGCCGCCAGTCCATGGGCACCTTCATCCGTTCGCCGGTCCGGCAACGTGAGGATGGAGGAGCCCCGGATCTTCGCGTTAGGCATGGACGTAGGTCTAGGATAGGTAGGTCTGGCGGTGTTGCATCCATAGAGTCGGCAGCTTCTTGTCTCGACGGATAAGTTTCCCCAGGCCTGGCTCCATCTTGGCAGTGTCTTTTCCGGTGGTGTCGAGTGGCTCGGGGATATGTGTGCTCGCCGTCGGCGAGTATAGTTTGTGGAGTGGTGCTGTTTTTGGTGGTGACGACAGCGACGTATCCAAGAATAATGCCCAGACTCCGGCCCGTCTCGATGGCATCCATGGCGGCATCGAGGAGCCAGTGGGCTCGGTCTCCCATCTATCTTTCTGGTCGACGGTTTTAGATGTTTGGACGGTGCCTAGCATTATGCACGATGTCACCGGTGGGCGAGTAAAAATGGTGGTTCCAGATTTGGGCTTGCGGATTGAAGGCGACTAATGTGGTACTTGGCCTCGACGACGTGGACGGCTGACGATGGCTCCGGGATTCGAGAAATATGGGGATGGTCCCTGGTCGACACGCCACAACGACAAAGGCTTCGCCGATGGCAATCTTCTTCATCGACTCACAACGCCCTCATGGGTTGTGGTTCTCCTTCGAATCTAGCGACATTCAACGGTGGCGACGGATATTGCAGAATTGGCTAATGATTCCAATGTCTTTTTTGGTTTTTCTGCAAATTTCTGAGGACACTTGTTTTCCCTCTACCCTACGGGTCGATTTCGCGTGTGAGCGTTGTATTCATCATATTGGTGATCAATGAAACGTGTGATTACCCTAGAAAAAAGCAACAAACTGAATGCCCGCAAAAAAAAATGTTTGGCGCGTTCACCAAACCTGAGCTCTCGGCGGATTTCCAACCAAACGTGAGCTCTCGCCGCCAAAGCCTCCCGAAACGCACCGGACCCAACCGCAAAATCAGGCAGATCACCAACCCACGGAGGCCCTGGCCGCCGCTCATACCCTAGAAGTAGAAACACACTTGTGAAAAGAAAAGGCGCGGTGCGGCCACGCTGACGAACCGTCGTTCGCTCCGTCACGTCCTATAAGTACGATCGAGCGCGCACCCGACAGCTAACATCTCATCACAGAGATCAGCCCACACACACACGCCAAGAAGAAAGCGACCGATCGAGCTCCACTCGGCATGGTTTCCTCCAAGAACGCCCGCTGCACCGCGCTTCTTTTCTTGGCCGCGCTGCTGCTCTCGTGCGCCGGCATGGGCCGCGCGGCACGCCGCCTGGAGGAGACGGCGCCTGAGGACAGTTACCCGGCCGAGGCGCCGGAGTTGTCGCCTGAGGACGATTACCCAGCCGAGGGGCCGGAGCCGTCGCCGGAGCACGAGCTACTGCCTCCGTTCCCGTCGTTCCCGAAAGTCGAGCTGCCGCCCATGCCCGAGATGCCTACGATTCCCGGGTTCAGCCTTCCTGGGGCCGAGCCGGACGCCGATGAGCCATGATCAAGGACGAGGGCCGTGACATGAACTCGGAGTCGATCATTTCCGGAGACAGTGTGTGCCGTCCATGCTCATTGTCTACGTACGTTGTGGTGTGCTCTTGTGTTCGTATGATCGTATGACCTTCCACTGGACGGCAAGTGTGTATGTCTACATGTTCGATAAAAATCCTGTGATACAGTGCTTAGTTGTGTGTTGTACACTTTTGGATTTACACCCATTGAAATTAATATGCAAGTCTCACACATGACATCGACTGACATGCAATATTTTTCAGGGAGTACACCATGCCAACTTTGATGTACGCTATATATGGACAACCAAATAATAACAATCTCTACGGTTTCTTAAGAAATGTAACCGCATGAACCAGAAGATCAGATACTGAACATGCTACCTAAAAAATCTCACATATTTACAAGCACAACTGAAAGCTGAATCGAGTCAATCAAGGAGATAATGTTCGTAGTTCGGTACAGCCTGATCAAGTAAAGTTTATCATGCCTAGATTTCCATCTTGCAATTGAGATAAACGACAAAGATGAAGCGATATATTGTACCATCTGGTTAAAAAACATAGCTCAGTATTTGTGCCCCCTTGGATATGCATAACAAGCAAATCGCTAGCGCTTGCACTCTTTGCAGTAATGGGTTAGCGCAGACACCTTGGATGCACATCGGTAGCAGAAGCTGTTCCCACACCTAAAATAAATCAAACAAGGGAGCCGCAAAATCATTTCACATTTATATGGACTAACTTGATAATCGGATAGTAATTTCCATTTGTCAAGCATAGCAATCAAGCAATGGGCGATTTGCCAGGAAGAAATTAATAGAGTTCTCTAATCTGATCTGTACCTGCATTTGATGTAGTTGCATCCCTCCGATTTCTCCACGTACATCCTGCACTTGGGGCACCGCTGCCACCTCTGCCGTCCGGCGAGCCTCCTCAACAGGAGGTCCTCCCGGCCTCGCTCGTCCTGCCCGAGCTCCTGAAACTCCCTGCACCCGACGCCGGCATGCCACGGCGCCACGCACCGGGCGCAGAACAGCCGGTGGCAATGCGGGCACTCGGCCTCCGCGATCGCCCCTGCCCCGGCCTCGCCGTCGGCGAGAAGAGGCGCCGAGCATTCCCTGTACGGGCAGTACACCGTTTTGGCGCCGAGCAAGGACTCGCACAGCAGGAAACCCCACTTGTCTAGCAGGTCCGAGGAGATGATGCCGAAGCAGCTCTCCGGCTCGACGGTGCCCTCCTTGCAGCCGGGGTCGGGGCATTTGACGCGAGCCACGTTCTCGCCCAGCTTAGCCGCGACGTACCGGACGACGCAGCCTGAGCAGAAGGCGTGGCCGCACGAGCCGACGCTGAACTTGAGGGTGCCAGGCACCGTCTCCATGCAGATGGCGCAATCGAAGAGCTCGCGGTCGCCGTCGCCGTCGACGTCTACCACCGGCGCGTCATCACCGGTGAACTTGGGGTCGATGGGCGATACGATGAACGTCTCTGGCCTGAGTACACGAGGCAATATTGAGTTCGTTGCGTCGACTAAATAGATCTCCGCTCCGAGCCCCGTAGTACGAATGAATCAAGCGCAGGGGAGTAAGAACTAAAAATTTACCACACAACGAACACGACCATCGTCATCGCCACGGCGAGGCCCCAGCAACACCATGCCTTTGCTCGCCCGCTCAGACCCTTCTTATCTCCAGGAGAAGGGCACACGGCGAGCGGGGTCACGTCGAGGACCGTCTTGCCCGGATTGGCCTCTTCGTCGACGCCGCTCCTTCGGTAGCACACCGCCGCCGCGCCGGCGGTGGCGGTGACGTTGTTGCCGACCAGGACCACGCTCCGGTTCTCGGGCACGAGGCCTTTGAACGGCTGCTCCTCGGCGGAGAAGACGGCGAGGAGAAGAAGGGCCGTGAAGGGGAAGGCCCCGGCGAACGGCATTGCGCTTCTCCCACTCCGTCGCCGCGTGTGCCAGTCGTGTGCTTGGTTCGGTTGGATCTGAGTTCAGGTTCAGCTATATCCGCGTATCGCGTGCACGTATCCGCGTGAAACGGAACCCCTCGAAAATCGTCGCCGGTGGAGAATTATGATACATCGATCGGGTCCTGTGCCGGTGCCATGTCAAGGAGGTAAAAGATCGACCGTCTCCATGTGGAATGAACGTGTCGTCGTTGCGTGGCTTTCTCCGTTGATCCAATGCACGTTCTGCTGCCACTAGTTCTGTACATCATGTGGCAAAACAAAAAAACAAAATTTGCCATCTGTTGTTGTACATCTTTTTTTTTTTGCGGGAGATTGTTGTTGTACATCATTGAGTAGTAAGTGCCATGTTTTTTAAAATAAATGTAAAATAGTCTACAGAAGCAAAAGAAAATCCCATAAACGATGGAAAAGGCAAATTTTGCCATGAAAAATAAAATAAATTTGCCATGCGTGACAAAAAGTAAATTTAAGACATATGTAAAGTTTGGAAAGTTAATAAAAGAGGTAATATCACCAGTGGTGTTTAAACTTGCCACCGATGTTCACTTTAGTGCATGAAGTTGAAAAATACGTCGAACTGGTTCTAGAACTTGGCACGTGTGTGCAAATACGGTGCTAATCCAATCGACAGTCGTATAATGCACTGACGTGGCACCATATTTTGATGGGCTGCAGTGAGTGCAGCCCATTTCACACATGTTATGAAATTTGTAAAAAGTTTCTAAACTAATATCACAGTAAATAAATATTGATTACTTGCGTGTTATAAATATTATACATACAACTAAAATAACTTATTTAAAAAAGGGTCATGTAATTTTAAAAATATTCACTTATTTACATGTGGATTATATTGAAAACTTTTAGTAAATACAAAACTATTAATTATTTAGTATGCACAAAAATTATACCCCGTGGCATATATTTAAATTGCAAAAAAATATGGATACAAACATTTTTATTAATATTCACTTGTGATAACTTTTACTCGTGGCATATATTCTTAATTCTATATAACCTTAATATAGCCACATGTATATATTTATAAAAACTTGAAATATTAAATAATAATCAATATTTTTAAATTACATAAAATTCTTATACGAAAAAATTATGAATTAAAAAATGTGCATATAATAAGTCAAATGTTTGTATAGTTAAAATAATAATAATTAGTTGTAATTTCGAAAATGTTTGTATTATTATAAATTATACAAACATTTCTTAATCATAAATAATATTTTATTTATATGATTTTCCAAAAATAATATTTAAATGATTTTAAAATTACTTGAACATTTTGCTAAATAAGTTAGTTTGTGTATGTATATTAATTATAACACACGAATGTTTGAACGTTATTTTTATTACTAACATTATAATTTACATACTTTTTACAAATACTTAAAATTTTATAAAAGCTAACAAGTGCAACATGGCGGCACATACAGGAACACATTTAAACCAGACGACCATGTTCTTTTATAATATAGGGCGTACATAAGGATGTTAGACGAAGGAGAGGTCAAATGGGAACCTTAGGTTTTTTTGTAAGTACTAGTAGAGATTAGCACAAATGCATGTACATGGCAGCATGAGAGGAAATTGAAGTAAACCCATCAAAGTGGCACAACGGCATTGGTATGGTGTCACCCATCAAAGTGGCACAACGGCATTGGTATGGTGTCACCCAATGTCGGCAAAGATGTGCATGACAAGGTTTAAAAGACAAACATTATCAGCTGCGCATTAGGCACGAAAGAAGCCTTAATACCGATGTAAGGAATGCTTACTTTTTTCATAATCTTAAAATGTACTCTCTTGCTTCGGTTTGTCAGAGCTATCTCACAAATCTGAGCAACCAAGGTACATACATAGTGATTGGAGGGAATGAATATCACATTTTTACTTTTCTCTCAAAATATTTGATTAGAAAATATTGCTGCCCCCTTCGTAATCTTCCACCTCTCCCTTCTCCTCCTTGCTAGGACGGGGTGAATGGGCGATCACTCAAGCGGGTCTCGTTCATAGATTTCCTAGTTGTGATGCTCGGTGGAAGATAGGGAACCAGCTGGCTGCCATCCATGATAGCCACAAAGGCGTCCCCTTGGACTGCGTGTGCCACCGGCTCGCGTTGCTGTGCAAACCGCCACTATCGATGTCCCAAACCAAGAAATCGGACACTCTCTCTCACACACACAACCATGTCCTTTGTCTTGTCAATCATGATAGGCTGAACAAGAATGAGAGGCAGTGAGCTAAGTACTAATGTTGACATTTTGTTTAGCATTTCGGAGATGGAGCTCCTATTCACCGCATTAAATCGTAGTTACCTTATGCCGCCACCACCTGAAGCTAATTCGTTTTGGTCGAGCCTACCTTTTTTGTCTTCCCTTCCGCTGCCATTGTCGCCACATTGCGTAGATCATCGACTTGCCCGCTACCACCGGACTAACCATCATCCCCTACCGCTGACGACTAGTGTCGTTGCATAGCCGCCCCACCCCTCTCCCCTTCTCTGATGTAGCCATGTAGGTGATCCCCATCGCACGTGCACCATCAACCTGTACGCCAAGCAGCTTGTCATCGTCTCGTCTCCGTGGCCGACAAAACGCCATCTCACCTCATTACTAGTCCAGACGGGACCTTTTTCCACAGTTTAAGAGAAATCAGTTTCAAAAAAAGTGAAAAATATATTACAAAAACTAACAGTAATGTTCACGGCTCCGGCCCATACCCACCGTCCCGCCATCGAGCAGATACAACAACATACGCAGCCGATGTGTCTCCACAGTCCAAAAATGTGCACACGATCCATTTTTCTTGAATTTCTTCTAGATGGTACGACACTGGGCTGATACTTTCTTAATCATTTTTTTAGGGTTAATTCTCAAGCATTTCAACTCAATGCCTCAAAAAAACATGAGATATCGCGAACCAACATGTAATTGGATGGTTAGAGGGACAGTGGTATCTCCAGCCCACCAGGGTTCAAGTCCTGTTGCTCACATTATTT